GCTCGGTTGATTTTTCTAGTCGGCACACTCATTTCCTCCATTACCCGCTGGCTGCTTCCCAAACAAACACACGTGCGGCTTGGCACTTGTGCTGTACGTAACAAGTCACGCGACGTGACGCTGCGGCTGTGATTGGTTCGGCTCTGCGCTACTTAATTTGGATTGGCTGTAGGGCTGGGCCATATTATACCGTTCACGGTAATACCGGTATAATGTTAGGCAACATAGGAAAATGAAATATCGCGATAGAATATGAGTAAAACGCGCATGCGCAGTGCCTTTGTTTTCATACGCACATGGCCGATTGTTGAGTGAAACAGATGAACCAGAATTGGTTTGTAAAAATGGTGCAACTTCAGTGATGTGGAACTGGTTTGGTGTTTGTCCGTCAGATACACACAAAGCACATTTTTTTGCAGAACATGCAAGCGGCCGTCGTTATTGTCTATTTGTCGGACTAAGATGCTCTTAAATCTGGGAGTAATCTGGGTCCTAAACTCCGTATGCTTCAGGTCAAACAACACTGCAGCATCACTAGAGTTAAAAACTGTCTAAATTCTTTCATCTTTAATAAAACGATCAGCATTGCTGCTTTACCAGGTGTAACTATGAAGTTTAACTTCCAGGCATCCATTAAAACAAAATTTATTACATTTAACGAGTTAGAAGTTAGCAGGAAGCTAGCGGAAGTTAGCTCGCTAGTTTCGCTAGTTACCTAAGCATGATATTGCATGTTCTGACTGAGAGATTTCTGAAAAAAATCAAACGTACAGCTCTGCTATCACTTCCAACATAAATGAAGACAGAAACTAAACAGCAGTGACGTTTGTAGGGTTACTGAAGTTGGGCTAGCTGGTATATAATGATGTGCTACGTATCGCTAGCGACACAGCTATGTTAGCATAACATAAACAGGGAAGCTGGAGGACGAACACTAACACTTTTCCACTTATAAAAGTTAACGTAAGTTCCTCATAGTTAGAGACAAATGCAATCGCATGGCAGGATGCTGTAAACGGACCAAACTTCAGTCAGGAGAACAACTGAGATAATCCATCCACAATACGAGGTTAGTCATTAATATACTGCAACAACATGGGAATAGAGCAGCTGCCAGAGAATTCAACATTAATGAATCAATGGTACAGAAGTGGAGGAAGCAAGAAGAATGAGTTTAATAAAGTTTGATTTATCTGACTGCTTTGTTTCGCTTAATGTGCCTTATAATCCCGTGCACCTTATGGTCCGAAAAATACGTACTGCACACTGCAGTTTAATGTTGCAAAGCACCTCTTTTTAACTTCAGTGGATATTATACATGGTTATGCTCAGGATATGTCAGCCCATTTCTACTGGAAATGCCTTTTGGTTAAACTTTCAGCAAGGAATTTGCATTTGCACTGTTACATTTTTATAAAGCTTTAATGTACATAAAAACCAGCTTCTTTTTAAGTGAAAATAAATGGAAGGTTGTCTTTTTGCGCTAGTAATGTTGTGGAGTTGTATTTTGTCTCGCATCAATTATATCGTCAGTTATATCGTTATCGCAAATTTTCAAATATATATCGTGATAAATATTTTTGGCCATATCGCCCTGCTCTAATTGGCTGACCTTTTTTTTTTTTTTTTTTTTTTAGAGGACAAGAGCGGCGAGGTCTATCGCGATAGCTTAATTTCTCTATCAGTAAAAGTTATATCGCGATACATATCGTTATCGTTCTATCGCCCAGCTCTACTACAGAGTAACTTGCCTGTGAGAAAAAAAGCAGTATACCAAATTACTTTCTCTGGCGTGCAACTAAGCAAAGTACTGCATTACTTTTAAGAGAAGCAAAGAGCAACGTGTACTGCTTTTTTAAAACTACGAGCCCAACACTACACACAACAGGCTGATCAACGAAGCAATTTTAAACCGAATCTTTAAGCACTTTGTTACCAGCTGCCTGTAATTAAAAACACATTTTTCCCATTTCTTTAGTTAAATCTGTGAAAATGAAGATAACACAGCACAAAATAGTATTTATGCACCAACCCAGTGATTCTCAATTATCACCATGAATCTTGAATGTACATCGAGGTTATTATAATGTATAATAAAACTAGATATGAAAGAAGTTAGTTACCTAAATTTAGCTAGACTTTTGGAAAAATGTAAACTAATTAAAATGACTTTGAAAACGAACTAAAATAAAATACAAACATGGAGGAAATATCCTTGGCTTTTATCTTGGTAAAAAACATTATTACAGCTTGTCTGATGAGGCATTACTGAGACTCTGGATGCCCACATCTGTCCCCTGCACTGACCTGGTAGGAGTGAGCACCAGGCAGAAGATGCCGTACGGGTCCTCTGAGAGTTTCTGCAGCACTGGCAACACGAACGCTGCTGTTTTCCCACTGCCGGTCTTGGCACAGCCCATACAATCCCGACCTGTGGAAAGAAACACCTCAATAGTGATGGAGTAAATGTAGAGCTGCCGAGGAAGTCCACCTCCGCTGTGTAAATAACAGAGAAAGTCTTCTAGACATCCTCAACACCAGCTTAACAGTTACTCAGAGATCCTCCGGCAGGTATTACAAGCATATATGTGACAGTATCCCCGCCCTGTCTTACCTTGGAGGATAGCTGGCATGCAGTTTTCCTGGACTGGAGTGGGTTTGTTGATTCCCAGCTGTTTACACTGTTTAACCAGCCAGTCTGACAGACCGAGGGAGGAAAAGTCGCCCATTTCTGATTTACCTCGTCCTCTGAAGCTCGGTGAGATCAGCTGTGGACGCGTTTTGATAAAAGAATCGCTAAAATACTCTTATTTCAGTAAACACTAACACATCCTCGTGTATCAGGTCCGCGGGCGCTTTCTGATTACGTAACAAGAATGCGTCTTCTTCACTGGAGGAAAGTGCGCGTTGCTGCCATCTCCTGGTCGGTGTAGCGAACGACACTGAAAGCAGAGAGTGGAGCAAAAAAAAGCTGTTTCTCTGTGACATGCGCATCATTCAGAGTTTTTAACGCATTAAAATTAAAGCAGGAACATGCAGAGCGTTCTTAATAATGATGTAATGAAACTATATATGAGACCTTGGGCCCCCTTTGTAAGACTCAATTTAATTAAACGTTGCATATTCACAAAGAAATATGCACACGTAGTGGAGCTTGACGCTTTGCCAGGTTTCGAGTTCTTTGTGTCCAGCACTACAGATTTGTATTGACCTCTGAACCTGCCAGAGCCTCAGCATTTTCATTGTAGAGCTGGGCTGTCTCTACTTTGTCTTTGAAGCGCACATTTAAAGGAAATATTGAATAAAATGTGCCTATCTGTAAATCCCCAATCTTTACAGTAATATATATATTTACCCGGATTTCTAAGATTTTGTTTTTATTGTGAAACACAAGCCTTCAGGGTTCTGAGAGATCACCTGTCGTAAAGTTCTCGCCATTCACGTCACAATGATGAAGTGAGACAAAGTTTCAGATCGATAAAAACCTGTTATTTTCTCTATGTGGCAGATTGTGTCAGACTGATCGCTTCGTGGTGTATTGTCACGTGTGATTAATGGCCAGCAAGATGAAGGGAATCTTTCACAGGCATCATAAAAATACACTTTTTCTGGTCAGAACTTGTTAAATTTCACATCAGTCAGAAAATGTTTTTTTATTATCAGAAGGTGGTCCGTGTGGGTTTTAGAGGCTTTGCAGTCAGCCACGTATCCTGATCTGCTTGGGCATAAACCTTGAACTTAAACCTTGACTTTTTCCTGGCTCTCTGTGCTTCTGTGCTGCGCAGAACTGCAGCAGCCTCACATGGAAAACTCCAGAATCTCCTTTCAAAATCCAAGATTTGATTCTCTGCATAGATTTATTTGTTAATGTCTTGCAGATGATCATGCGAGTATTTTCTTCACCTGCCACTGTGGGCTTGCGAAGGACAGTGTGAGTTAATTCAGTTAGTGCTTGACTAGAGAGGCAGAAGAAGCTTCACCAAGAAAAACCCATCTGTGTCTGTACACCGGGCTGCCAGAGGTGATTAATGCCCTGTGTGTTAAAGGCAAAGGCCTGAAGGTTTAGCTCCATCCTGTCCAGACCGTCCAGCTGTGCTGCAAACTGCCTTGGACCGAGTGAAAAGTGTCTCTCTAAATTAAAAGGAAAATTGCTTGAATGCAAAGGCGAGGATCCGATGTTCCCTGCTGCCTCCCTGCAGCACAGAGGCGCAGTCAGCTGCATCGCTGTAACAGCCCGCTGAGCAACATGATTAGCGCTCCCATTGCTCTTCCACCACACTTGAAGCTCCAGTCTCCCATGTTCAGCCTATATTCATGCAGATAAATCAGTGGAGACTCTTTCTAAGCACACAGAAATATTTCCAGCACTTTTAGGGGAAAATATAGAACTTTAACAAGAAAGCAAAATGGTGCAAACAAGTTTTGCTTTTCCAAAAAGAAACCGACTGTGTAGCACTTAACCGACCTGTCTATATCCCAGATCGGCGATGCACTGAAAGCATTTGGCAAATTATGAAATGGAAAAATACAACAAAAGAGGGCGTGAACTATTTAATAGACTTAGTCTCAGGAGATCCAATATGGCTATAAAAACTACAGCAATTGCTCTCAGTTTTCAGAGGCTTAATGCCTGCATCTGAGTTTAAAAAACAAAACAAAAAAGCTCTAATTTAATCTGGCATATATTTGTACATTTCTATACTGATTTGAAATAATTGGGATTACCATATAGCTCTTTATAAACATCTCCATACTCACCATAATCTGGTTTGACATGAGATTAACACATCAAGTGCAGCAGTGCGCATCATGACTGATTGTTTGCTTAAGCTTTTGTCGTAAATAGCTATCGGGGGCGGGGGATTTAAGGCTATAACTATGTCATTTTGACATAGTTCTTATTCTGGCATATAAATGAACAGTCGGAATAATGAGGAGTCATTTCCACGGAGCCCGTTAGATGGCACTGTGGAGACCCCGCGGTCCCACAGAAATAGTTGAATGGAATCCCAGTGTGATCTGGCACAGTGATAGGAGGGGAGCGCAGCACACAAGTCCTGGAGGAGGTTTGAGCCAAGAGCACTGTGCTGCCCGACTTTTCATCGACATTCGTCCGTCTGTCCGAGCCGCAAAGCAGAGCCAAACGTTCGCGGTGCGTAATTACGCACGGATACGACAGTTTCGCGGTGTTCTTGGCTGTGGAAACCCCGCGGACAAAGAAGGGCAGGCGGGCTGGAGTGCAACTGACTTGAGCGGAGAGGAGTACTGTTGGAGGGGAAACTGGAGGAATCTGGAGTCGGAAGTGATTTGTCTTTTTTTTTTTTCCAGAAATGTAACTTACGTCCAGGGTTTTAGGAAAGGAAAAATCTTTTTGGCGAGAGGGAAATTAGGAGTGGATTTAACCTCCAAAATAACATCTAAATCCTCGGAGCATGGGGTAAGTTGTGGTTTTGTGTCTGAAATCTTTTCTCTTCAAGTGTTGATTTAAAAAAAGAAAAAAAAGAAAAGCTGAATGTGAACTTTGTGACGAAGTAGTTTCGTTTCTGACGACGTGGGTTTTTGATTCCGTTGGACGGCATCTTGTACAAGCTTTTGGAGCAATTCTACCGTTAGTTCACACGTGACAGTCTGCTGTTTTCTTTGTTTACATCCCGGTAGCTGCTGAGAGAGAAAGGAGTCTTTAATTTGAAACGCAGATCCCAACTTATTTTGATCAAAACTCTTATTTTTTGACCGCTGTGCCAACGAAGATAATCGCATTACATGTAACCGTCTGGCTGTCACGCTGGCGGTTTGTTTAAAAGTAATGGTAATTTTTTATGATGACGCACACGGAGGTCATTTAAATGCTCCAACTGCTGAGACTTCCTCTATTCTGTTCCTCCTCACTGAAGAGCGAGTCTGCAGGCTGATTCTGTTGCAGGGGATCCTGGGTGGCTTTTATTGGGATGCTGTTGGTGTCATGCTGCGCTCAATCTCATTAACTCTGTCAGTGTGTTTGCGTGTGTTCAATTATACGTGCAGGTCTCCAGCTAGGCTTCAGATACACCTGAACCCTCTTCCCACTACCAGAGTCCAAGCTGTTAGCTTCCAACCTCTGGGAGACTTATATGGCGCTTTAAGATGCTCCTTAAATGAATGCAAAGCACGAGAGCATCATCTTTTATCTTTAATGTGATGTCACTGATGCGCCACGATAAGCTGGCACCCGCAGGAGGATCCGATTTCACTGCATTATTGCATTATTGTGGTTTTACATTCTATTTATTTGCAGTCTAAACTACTTAATGTAATCGTTCTCAGTGCACAGTAATGCAACAGTGCCGATATTTACCCGTTTACTGCTCAGATTAGACCCCGTTTCCTAAAACGTGTGCTCCTATACAGCTAAAATGTGATCTAAAATACATTTCAAGAACATTTATTTTCTTGCCAGCAAAATATTTGGCTTGGAAATGCCTCAGGGTCGAGCTTGAAGAGGTGTCTGGAGAGAGGAGAGGGACTTTTGGGCATATCTGCTAAAAGTGCTGCCCTGTGACCCCGGATCCAGATAGTCAGAAGAAGATGGATGGAAAATATGTGATAATGGAAAAGACTAGAAATCTGCACTGTAAGACAACTGTCATCCAGGAAACTCAGATTTGAACAGTTTTTCATTGAGCTTAATATTTTCTTTTATTTATTTGGTTGGATCCAGGGCCAAAATTGAGTTGGTCAGGTTAAGATTTATGTGGCGGGGCATAGTCCGAGGACGCACCTGAGCGGCACCTTTTCTTTTTTTGTTTACAATTACCATTAAAAAAAAATAATAAAGTAAACTGGCCAACAACAAGTAGCTATACATACCTGAAATTCCAGTATGAATTGTAATATTTCACTTGTGTTAGTGCAGTGATTGGAGTACTTTTACAAAGTGATTGCAAACTGCTGTAAAGCACCCACGCATTCAATTCTTAGGTTTTAAGGTTCGAGGTTTCAAAGTCATGGAAATATTTGTGGTTTCAGGGCTTTGAAACCACAAATGTTTCTTTTGCTGTCGTGTTTTCCATGTGTGAGATGGAGAGGGTACACTGGAATGTGTTACTGTCAATAAAAGTCAGATTAGGAACTAAATACCCAACCCCAGTCAGCGTGGCATTGTGCCACAGTGTCAACGCTAAAAGCTTAAAGTAGACTGTATCCACTCTGTTGATGCCAGCGGGGAAATGGTCCTCTGACAGTAACAAACAAGCAAACATCTGCTCCGATGGCCTGTGTTTGATGCATTTTCACTGTCAGAGCTTAAGCAAGGCATCAACTCTGCTTCATCCCTCTGAGCAGCAGAGAGGCAGCAGGATTCAGTCACCTGGGCCAAATGGCAAAAAAGGAAAAAAAAGCTAGATTTAGTCACTGGGCCACCGTGTACTCTCAAACAGGAGTCTGCAGAACTCATAATATCCAGAGATGGCCTGCAGCTCTTCTGCACACTTGACAGATGGAGCAGAGTCTTGATTAAGAGTCGCTTCAGGTCCATAAACCAAATGAATTTTCACACAGGTGCTTTCAAGCCGTGCTGCTTGTCTTGGAGTTCTTGTTCTTATCCTCTGACATGGGTAGCCTGGAAATGGATGGAGATGCAGTCTTGATATAATGAACACCTTCTAGCTTGAGGCAACAGGCTGCAGATTTAGACAGGGTGAAGTTTATGACCAGTTTCTATTAATTCAACATCAATGCTCGGCAACAGCAATACATTAAAAATGGTTCAGAAAATCTGCATTTTCGGGCAGCATTTGGAGGAGCCTAATGAATGGGTTTATTGTGTGTTAATGACACAAGAACTATGTATAAGTACTATTTTTAAATGGAGCTGTGATCTTAAGTGTAAGTCTTTTTCATGTGTGTTTTTAAGCAGGTCTAACCTAAATGAAATTCTTTGTTTTTACCACATTTATGATCCTTGAAGTGTTTTGTGCAGGATATGATCATGTTCTCTTGGTACTGTTGATAAGTACAACAACCTCCCCAGTTCCAAATAATGTAACACTTTTACTCTTCCATGGAAAATGTTAGCTCATTTTGAATTTATTGGCAGCAAAACATCTCATAAACGTTGGATCGGGGCAACAAAATGCTGAAAAAGTAAGTGTTACTGAAAGGAAACAACATTTTGCCATAATGACATTTGGCAACAGGTCTGCATTTAATGAAAAAATATGAAGACTTTTAAATGTCTCCTCATTTACAGTACATAATATAATTCAAAAATATTCAGTGTCTGGAGAAATCGCTGTGCACAAGGGACTAGGCTGAAAATCAATACAGGGCGCCCATGATCTTCTGTCCCTCATACAGCATTGCATTAAAAACAGATATGATTCTTTCATGGAAATCGCTGCATGGGTTCAGGAACACTTCCAGAAATCACTGTCTGCATGCACAAATGCAAGTTAAAGGTCTATGATGCAAAGAAGAGGCATATGTCAACATAATCCAGAAATGCTGCCATTTTCTCTGGGCAAAGCTCACTAAAAATGGACAGAGGAAAACTGGGAAAATGTTCTGTGGTCAGACAAATCAAAATTTTAAATTCTTCTGGGAAAACATGGACACTGTTCTGGATTTAAGAGGAGAAGGACTATCCGGCTTGTTATCAACACTCATCACTACATCAGTGCCTACGGAATTGGCAGCATGTGCATCTGGAAAGGCATCAAATAATGCTGAAAAGTGTACATGCAATATAATGCTCCCATCCACATGTCTTTGTCAAGGAAGGCCTTGCATATTTCATTAAGACAATACTAAACGACACACTGCATCTATTACAGCATTGCTTTATAGTAGAAGTCTGAGCTGCCTGCAGTAGAGACCAAATTTCACCAACTGAGAACAATTAGAGCATCTTGAAACCAAAAATACAAGAAAGAAGACACTTTGAGAATTCCTGTATCAGACAAGAATGGGACAACAGTCCTCTCCTAAAAGTCCAGCAACTGTTGTCCTCAGTTCCTAGACATTTACAGACTGTTGTTAAAAGAAGAGGGCATGCTACACAGTGGTAAACATGGCCCTGTCCCAACTTATTGACGTGTCGCTGCCATCAAATTCAAAATGAGCTAATATTTTTCCTGAAATAGTAAAATGTCTGTTGTGAATAAAACATGGGTTTATGAGATCTGCTTTCACTGACATTTTACACAATCAATGTCCCAACCTCTTGATGTGGACCCCCTGAAGCAGTGGCTGGTAAGATCAGCAGGTTTTATGCTTCACCTTATAACTTGAACTATCTCCTTCTTGTTCTGCTGCAGAGGAGTGGTCTGCCAGCTGTAAAATGTACCCGCTACACCGAGAGAGGTACAAACACACCGCTGTCTCTGTGTTGTTGCTCTGTCTGATAGGGATGGGTGATACCTCCTACCAATTAATGCTGAGCTTTAGGTCACTGTGTGTACCTTTCACTCAGCAGAAGCTGCTTAATTACAAACGCCTGGGGTATTCAAAGCGTATAAGTTTGGTATCTAATAATATTATTTGGTTTTAAAAAAA